CTAGGTTTTAAAACTATTAAAGAATATTGTAGATACCAGTTCATTTTTGTTCTTCCTAATCCAATTGAATCTACTTTAAATAGCTATAATTGGTGATTTTCCAGATCAAAGGTCTTCCTCAGATCAATGAGCAGAGCTTGTCTATATTGATTACCAGCCATGCCTATGAAAATATCATTCGTTACCTCGGGAATGATAGTGGAATGAAGAGACTAACACCAAATTGGAAAGAGATCAATGAGTTTCATGTAGATAAAAATAAGCATGTTACCTGAGAAGAGAACATCAATTTTTTATGGACCCTGGACCAAACAGCAAAGGAAAAAATTATCTAGTAGGTCAGTTTTCTGAATGCTCAGAATGTCTTCTTATAGTGAAAATTCTTCTAAGCAAGCAGAATTTCATCAAAGAGTAGAAGTAAAAGATTGAGAATATCTAATTTCTATTGATTGCTATAAAAACTTCTCTACATTTTATTTTTTAAAGCTTGCGTCTCACTATTTCTACATTTATAAAAAACAATCAAAATATCTGACTTTTCTGCAGAACTTAGTTTCACGTAACTATTCCATGTCCTGACATCTATGGTTTCTGCTGCATTTACAATAATATAGGTGACTAAGAGAATTATTTATCTGGAGCAACTGAAACTAAAGAATCATCTGAACAGATTCTAGTTTCAAAAGAAAAACACTAAGATTTTTGACATAATTTTATTTTTCCTTCAATTTGCTTAATGCCATTGGTAGGTTAAATTACCTCCAAATATAGACAGCCAGAGCTACTAAGGTATTCCTATATCCTGAATGCTCAGAAAGTTTTAGCCAAGTCAGACTTGATATGAGGGGAACGCTCAAACAGAAGCAGAGAATTAAGCCGAGGCTTAGCTATGCTATCAGAAACAGAAACTGCATTGCTAGTTATGTATGGCTCAGCAGAAGTAACCGACAAAAGAAGTAGTAAGTGGAATTTGTCTAAAAGAGGCAAAATAGAAAATCAAGACTATTGGTGCCTTTGCCCTTTCCAACCCTGAACAAAACTCAAGCTCAACCTACTTCTCAGGGGCTGAAGTCTCTGGCTATATGTAGGCCTGCTATGCCTTACTCAGTACCAAACCTGGTTCTACTAACTCAGCTCAACCTACTGCAGTCAATCCATCCCAGCCAGATCTTACCAGCATGTCTTTCATGGTTCCTGCTAGATCTGCTCAGCCTATTTCAACCAATGCCACCTGACTCAACTTGGCATATTCTGCTCAGTCTACTATCCCTTAGTTTGACTCAACTTGGCATATTCTGCTCAGTCTACTATCCCTTAGCCTGGGGCTTCTAGGCCTGCACCCTACAAAACATCACCTTGTACTTCTCTCCACAATCAACCTTTTCCCACTTCTGAGACCAAGCTCCAGTCACCACTCAAGCCTCACAACAAATATCTACTTCAAGAATTCGACCTCCAACCCATGGAGGAAAACCAATGTTTCTGAACCAGTGATGTCGACACTCAGCACAGAAGAGCAGAGACTGGAGTGTGAGGCCATGAAGAGGCAGGCTCAACAACAATGTGAAGATGCTGCCAAATATACCTCTTCGGGGAAAGCACAGTTTTCATTGGGAGGGATAAGGATATGAAAATTACTCAATACTATGGCTACACAATGTAAGATCTGCCAATGTTGTTGGAATCACTTTGGGTACCTGCTGGTTTTCCACTTACACAATGACAGATACAAATTTCCCAATTTATTTTTCTATGTTTAGACCTAATAAAACTAAATGAAGAATGTAATATAACTGATCAGTATATGACTAATAAAGATGTCTTTTGAGTTTTTGGGGGAAAAAAAGAAAATAAAGGCTAGAGCAAAGAGAGCAGGAATGTTGGTCCGAATGACAATGGTACCTAAGAAAAGAGAATAAAAGATCAAATGTAGAGCAAGGGCTAAAATGGTTCCCAATGAACTGATTATGCAAATAAAGGCTTTTTAGAGATTTACTGAAATGTTGTCTTTAGCAAGATGGTTGAGAAACTCCTTTAACAGCCCCTCAACTGTCATCTCCAAATTGTCTATTCTGATTCTACATAGGACATGTGAATTTTTTAGTCCAGGAGTTTTATGCTCCAGCGGTCACTCCACTTTTTCTGCAAACCATGAACTTCCTTTGAGCTCAAATTCAGGAACTGTCCCTTGGAGGATAGCTCCAGAGAGTGGGATATTTGTACTGTATAGTAACCCCCCACAGTAAACCAAAAATTGAAGTTACTAGCTTACAGCATTAGAATAAATAGATCAACCAGGATGCATGTAGGTAGTGTTTACTTTTCAGAAGAGGTTGTATTTCAGGCCTAATCAGTGTAGATGTCCTTGGGTCATGGCAGTGAATACCCAAACAGGGGCTGTGATGCTTACTGGTATTTTATTTTATTGCCATGGTTGTCACACTTCTTAGAAGTTTTCCATTCAAAGAAAAGTTACCCGAAGATCTTAAGATTCAACATTGAGGAAATCCAACAAATTCAGAGGATTGGAACAGTTCAAACCACAAGTAAAAATTAATACAGAAAAATTCAAGCACACAGTGGGTTAATATCAAGGAGTCTCGCCAGACCAAGATCAGCTGGCAGAGCATGGAAATATGATTTCTAGACAGTGGCAAGAGAAGTCTCAGCATCAGGTGAGTAAATGAGTCACAAAACAAAGAAGTGGATCCAAGGTTATGTAAAAGATTTCAAAGGTAGCATCCAGACCCAGAATGGAAAGAGAATGGAAAAACTTGAGGGCCAGCTGAATAAGCTACAGTTCCAGCAGTCAACTGGAATGAAATTAGAACCATGACTAACTGACGGAGAGGACCAGTCACATTTGGTCCTAGGCCAGAAGGAAAGATGTAGACCACAGCTTTTTGGATATCCTAAACACAAGTTAGGCTCCCTTTTATTAGTGGGAAGAAGCTCCAAGGTTCAGGGTGGGTACTTGGCAGAAAAAGAAGGTAGTTGAACTTTCAAGTGACATGTTTTTTTTTTTTTACTGAGAGCTAAGGAAGCGCCATGGCAAGTGGGAGTGAAGGTGGTGAGTTGAAGATTTCGTTGCATTTGTCAAAGATCTTGATGCAGCATTTACATAGAGGATAAGGAGCAGGACCAAAGCATCTCTCAACCAACTAAACAGTGGAGGACTAGATACATACCACGAAGTTCACCGACCACTCAATGGTATATATGTTATATAGGTATATACATGTATATAGGTATATATGTTGGATGAGGCTTTATGGGGTTTATATTTTCTTTCTTTCTTTTTTATATTAGAAAATATAGTTTATTTTAAAAGTAAATTAGAGAGAGAGAGAGAAAGATGAGATTCACCTCCCCAAGGTAGAGAAGGGGGCCAAAGCCAGGAAGCATGGCAAGGTGTATTTTTTTTTTCTTTCTTTCTTTACCTATGTATTTATTTTTTTATCAGTATTTTTTATTATGGTTTTGTGGGGTACAGTTAAGGGTTAGGTGTACAATTACGTTTCATTCAGGCACCCTGTTGATAAGAGGTGTTTCCCCATCCCCAGACAGATATTTGCTACTGTTAATCCCATCCCCCTCCCCTCCCCATAGTTTCCCAGTACCGTCAGTCATTTTCTTATAGTATTACGTTGGATGTTCAAGTCCATTATATGAGTGAGAACATGTGATACTCGAATATTTGTTTCTGTGAGAGGTCACTCAGTATTATAGACTCTAGTTCCATCCACGTTGCTGTGAAATTCATGATTTTGTTCTTTTTTATGGCTGCATAGTTTTCCATCATGTATATGTACCACATTTTTAAAATCCAGTCCTCTTTTGACGGGCAGCATGGTTATTTCCAGGTTCTTGCTATTGTGAACAACGCTGTAATAAACATACGTGTTCAGGTATCTTTTTTATAGAGTGATTTGAGTTCTTCAGGGTATATTCCCAGTAGGGGGATTGTGGGGTCCTATGGGAGGTTGATATTTAGAGCTTTTTAGGAAATGCCCACACTGCTTTTCACAGAGGTTGCACTAGTTTACACTCCCACCAACAGTGTAGAAGTGTTCCCTTTTTGCCACAACCTCTCCAGCAGCTGTTATTTTTTGAGTTGTTGATAATTGCCATTCTGACTGGAGTTAGGTGGTATCTCAGTGTGGTTTTGATTTGCATCTCCCTGATGACTAGTGAGGTTGAACATTTCTTCATGTGTTTGTTGGCTGCTCGGATGTCCTCTTTTGTGAAGTATCTGTTCATATCTTTTGCCCATTTTATAATGGGGTTGTTTGTTTTTTTCTTTTCAGCACGTTTTAGTTCCTTGTAGATCCAGGATGTTAAGCCTTTGTCAGACCTGGTGTTGGCAAATACTTTTTCCCAGTCTGTGAGCCGTCTCCCTGCTCTCTTGATGGTTTCTTTGGCTTTGCAGAAGCTTGTCAGTTTAATAAGGTTCCACTTGTCTATCTTCTCACTTATGACCTGTAGGTTTCGGGTTTTGTTCAGGAACTGGATGCCAGTTCCGATTTCCATGAGGGTATTTCTTTCATTTTCTAAGGTTCTTATGGTTTGAGGTTTTACATTTAGGTCTCTGATCCATTTGGAGTTAACCTTTGTGCATGGGGATAGATAGGGGTCCTGTTTCAATCTTTTGCATGTGGTCAGCCAGTTTTCCCAGCACCATTTACTGAATAGGTTCTCCTTTCCCCAGTGGTAGGTGGTGGAGGGCTTGTCGAAGATGAGTTGGTTGAGATATTGAGGTTTTGCTTCTGGAATCTCAATTCTATTCCATTGATATATGCCTGTTCCTATACCAATACCAAGCTGTTTTGATGATTGTAGCTTTATAGTAAAGTTTGAAGTATGGTAATGTGATACCACCTGCTTTGTTTTTTTTTGCTGAGGATTGTTCTGGCTATTCTTGGATGTTTGTATTTCCATATGAATTCCTGTGTTGTCTTTTCTAGGTCTGAGAAGAATGTTGCTGGTAATTTGATGGGTATTGCATTGAATTTGTAGATTGCCTTAGGTAAGATGGACATCTTCACAATGTTGATTCTTCCAATCAATGAGCATGGGATATTTTTCCACTTGTTTGTGTCATTTTGATTTCTTTGAGCAGTGTTTTGTAATTTTCATTGTAAAGGTCTTTCACGTCTCTGGTTAGGAAGATGCCAAGGTATTTCATTTTTTTTGTGGCTATTGAGAATGGAATTGTGTTTTTTATTTGGGTTTCTGTTTGTTTATTATTGGTGTAGAGAAATGCAATTTTCTTTTGTACATTTATTGTGTATCCTGAGACTTTGCCAAAGGCCTTTATCAGTGTAAGGAGATTTTTGACAGATTCTCTTGGGTTTTCAAGGTACACAATCATATCATCTGCAAAGAAAGATAACTTGACTTCCCCTTTTCCTATTTGGATACCCCTGACTGCCTCCTCTTCTCTGATTGCTTGAGCCAGGACTTCCAGTGTTGAACAGGAGGGGTGAGAGTGGGCATCCTTGTCTTGTTCCAGTTTTCAGGGGAAATGGTTCCAATTTTTGTCCATTTAGGAGTATGCTGTCTGTGGGTTTCTCGTAGATGGCTTTTACTATTTTGAGGTATGTTCCCCGTATGCCTAGATGTTCAAGGGTTTTTATCAAGAAGAGTGCTGGATTTTATCAAAAGCTTTTTCTGCATCTTATATCTAATGATATAATCATGTGGTTTTTGTTTTGACATCTGTTGATGTATTTAATTACATTTATGGTTTTACGAATGTTGAACCAGCCTTGCATCCCAGGAATGAAACCTACTTGGTCATGATTTTTGAGATGTGTTGCTGAATTCGGTTTGGTAGGATCTTGTTGAGAATTTTGGCATCTATGTTCATCAAAGATATTGGCCTGTAGTTCTCTTTCTTTGTTGGATCTTTACCTAGCTTGGGTATCAATGGGATGTTGGCTTCGTAAAATGATTTGGGGAGAGTTCCATCTTTTTCAATCGCCTGGAATACCTTCAGAAGGATTGGTATCAACTCCTCCTTAAATGTCTTGTAGAATTCTGCTGGAAAGCCATCTGGACCAGGGCTTTTTTTTGTAGGTAGTTTTCTTATTATGTAGTCGATTTCCTTGATTGTTATTGGTCTATTTAGGTTCTCAATTTCTTCTTGTTCCAACCTAGGTAGGTTGTGTGATGTCAGAAAGTCCTTCATTTCCTTAAGGTTTTCAAGTTTCTTTCCATACAAGTGTACTTAGTAGTTTCCAATGATCTTTTGTATTTCTTCAGGGTCAGATGTGACTCCTTTTGTGTTTCTTATTGTGCTTATTTGGTTTTTTTCTCTCTTTTTCTTAGTCAGTCTAGCTAGGGGACCATTGATCTTATTTATCCTTTCAAAGAACCAGCTTTTTGTTTCATTGATTTTTTGTATTATCTTTTTGTCTTCTATGTCCTAAATTTGGGTTTTTATTTTGGTGATCTGGATTCTTTTGCTGAAATTAGGGTTTTTGTGGTCTTGCTTTTCCAGCTTCCTTGGGTGGCTTGTTAGGCTGTTAATTTGTGTTCCTTCCATTTTCTTCTGTGTGTTTGTAGGGATATAAATTCCCCTCTTACTACAGCTTTTAAGGTATCCCAGAGATTTTGGTAAGATGTTTCTTCATTTTTATTTGTTTCCAGGTATCTTTTGAGCTCTGTTTTGATTTCATCATTGACCCAGGAGTTATTTAGCATCACGTTTTTTAGTGTCCATGTCTTTGTGGTTTTTGGGGGGATCTTGTTGGAGTTAATGTTTATTTTTATTCCACTGTGGTCCGAGAAGGTGCATGGTAGAATTTCGATCCTTTTAAATTTGCTTATGCTTGATTTATATCCAATTGTGTGGTCAATCTTAGATTATGTTCCATGCGGTGATGAGTAGAATGTGTATTTTGTGGTCTTTGGATGGAGTGTTCTGTAGGTATCAATTAAGTCCATTTGGTCCAGAGTCTCATTGAGGTTCCAGATCTCCTTGCTGATTTTTTGTCCTGATGATCTGTCTAGGATTGTGAGTGGGCTATTAAAGTCCCCAGTTATGATGGTGTTAGGGTCAATATCTTTCTTTAGTTTTCCTAGAAGTTGCTTTATGAAAATTGGCGCACCTTTGTTGGGTGCATATATATTTAGGATAGATATTTATTGTTGATGGAGTGAACTTTTTATCATTATGTAATGGTCCTCTGTATCTTTTTAAATTTTTGATAGCTTAAATGGTATTTTGTCTGAAATTAGGATCGCGACTCCTCCTTTCTTTTATGTTCCATTCGCCTGAAAATTTGTTTCCCATCCCCTTACTCTGAGTCTGTGTATGTCCTTTCTAGTGAGATGGATCTCTTGAAGGCAGTATATTGTTGCCTGGTGATATTTTATCCATTTGCCATTCTGTGTCTTTTCAGTGGTGCGTTTAGTCCATTCCCTATCAGGCTAATTATTGAAATGTGAGAGTTTGTCCCTATCATAGAGTTCTTACAGAGTTGTTGTTCTTCCACTTGGTTTTTTTTTTGTCTTTCTTTTGGTTTTGGGGTTGGTTTGTGTATATTTTATTCTTTTCCCTGTACTCTTGTGAAGAACCTTGTTCTTTTTTCTTTTTCTTCTGTGTTTAGTACTTTCTTAAGTGTTTCATGTAGAGATGGTTCGGAGGCAGCATAAGTTCTTCGGATTGGATATCTGGGGAAGATTTTAATTCTCCCTCACTGATGAAGCTTAGCTTCGCCAGGTAGGTTATTCTTGGTTGAAATTGTTTATCTTTTAGGACTTTGATGATAGGGCTCCAAGCTCTCCTAGCCTGCAGGGTTTCTGTAGATAAATCTGCTGCTATTCTGATTGGTCTTCCATGGTAGGTGATCTGGCCTTTTTCTCTTGCTGCCTTTAGGATTTTTTCTTTTATGCCTACTTTGTTTAGGCAAATTACTATGTGTCTAGGAGTTGGTCTTCTCATTTGTTGTCTTGCAGGGATTCTCTGTATCTCTTGTGTTTGAATTTTTGCATCACTGATTAGATGAGGGAAGTTTTCTTGAATGATCTCATGGAAAGTTTGTTCCAGTGTGGTCTCTGTCTCTCTTTCTGCCTCAGGAAGTCCAATTACTCTTAGGTTAGGCCTCTTGAGGTAATTGCACATCTCTTGAAGATTTTGTTCTGTCTTTTTGAGCTTATTTTCTGTGTTTTTAAGAGTTTGGGTTATTTCTATATTTTGGTCCTCAAGCTCTGAGATTCTTCCTTCTGCTTGGGTAATTCTGCTTTCCATGCTTATCAGTTTGTTGTTTATTTCATTCAAAGTTGTCTTTATTACTGTTATCTTAGATATCTGCTCCTTCCTAGTTTCTTATTATGTCTCCTCAATTCTTTTTAATCTCTCCATTATTGTCTTGATGTCTATGTTTGTAGTTTGTGGCCCTTCATTCTGGGGGCTCTTCATTGTTTGCATTCCGAAGTCAGTTTTCTCAGTGACTGCCCTCCCAGGGCTCTGGAAGAGACCCATACTCTTTTGGTTTTTCTTCATTTGTGTAGATTTTTCTCTCTCTCCCCCTTTCCCTCCCCTTCTTTAATTCTGTTTTTGAGAGAAGGTGGGATTGCTTTTTCTCTTCTGCCATATCCTGTTCTTTCTTATGAGGGTCTTCTGGCTTTGTTCACTTTTCAGGTTGGAGCCTAGACTGCAATCTGTACTTTTTGCAGTTTTGAGGTTTAATTGAGAGGGAAACTGTGGTTCAGAATGTAAATGCTGATTCTAGCATCCATGAACAGGTATATGAACACATTGGAACCTATTTCCCTCTGCCTTACAATCTGTCCATTCAGCAGTATGTAGTCTTGGTCCCTAGATTAAAAAGGGGGTATAAAAGAGGAAAATAATGGAGGAAGGGGGGTCAGTAGGGAATTAGAAAGAGAGAAGAGCGAGAGGGAAAACAGATATACATACCAACTATCAGGTGAGAAAGAGACACAAGGCTGGGAAGAAGTGAAGAAAGACACGTAAGAAAGATTCCCTAAAGAGTACTGATAGCTACATAGAGACAGGCCAATAAAATCAAGAAACAGTGTAAGTCAGAAGGCAAACAACAAACGTGATCATAACCAACAGTTACAATGATAAAATCATAAGTCAAAATAAGCGATCAGGCTAAAGTCACTTCTCTGATCTCCGATTCCGGCCTCTCCCCTTTGTTTTTCATTGCAGTGTAGGGGTGGGGCTTTGTCTCCTGTTTCACGCCGTTGCCTTAGGAACTGAGGTAAAGTTTGTTGCCAGGTGGGCAGGGCAATGGAAGTCTCTGCCTGGAGAATGGCGGGGCAGTTTATGCAGATCTGTTTCTCTTCTTGTCTGGGTTGCCCAGCTTGGGGTCTCGCACTGAGTGCCTCAGCCAGGGTGGGCCCAGAGTTCCAGAGCTTCAAAGCTCCAAAGGGTAGGCGGTGAGTGGCGAGAGTGGCCCTGGGCCCCCCACAGGGTACTTCAGCCAGGAATGGGACGGGTGTCTCTGAGGGGCAGGCGCCCAGAGCCTCCCTGAGTGACCGGCGGCTTGGTGCCAGGTGCCGGGCTGGAGACAATGTAGCCAGGGAGGGAACTGGGAGGGGTCTGGGACCTGAGACTCCCATGCACGCAGTGGAACAGCAGCAGCAGGGGGCCACAATATCTGGCCCTACGTGGGACCAAAGGTCCCCGGGCCTCGGACCAGTGGAGCTGGTGGTGGGCTGGGAGATAGGAGAAGAAAAGTAAGACTCTTTTTGGGAACTCGCGTTGGGAGAATCTCACAAGTTCACCTATGCCGTCGCCATCTTGTTCCCGTCCCTCACATTTTTTAGTTTTAATCTGAAGACCTGAGTCCCAAGTCAGCAGTCAGGCAAAGGAGTTTTCTCTTACTCAACCTTTTTGTTCTGTATAGATCTTTAATTGACTAGATGAGGCCTATCCACATTAGGAAAGACTATCTACTTTATTCAGTCTACTGATTCAAATGTTAGTCTCATTCAGAAACATTTTCCCAGACACACCCAGAATAATGTTTAGCCAAATGTCTAGTCACCCTGGTGGTAAAACCTAGAACCACCTGAGTGGGAGGGTCTAAGCTAATGGCTTTTTATGCACCAACCCTTACCCTGCTTCTATCCCTCACTCGTGAAAGAGCAGTAGAAGTGGTCTTTTTTTTTTTCGTCAAGAGGGAGCCATGTTTAGGAAGGAGTCATAGGAAGCTGACCCTAGCAGGCTTGCAATGCCTGGGAAGAACAGAGATTAGCCTCTATTCATTTGTTGTTTTTTGAGTGGGGGATCTTATTCTGTCACCCAAGCTGGAATGCAGTGGCAGGATCATGGCTTACTGTAGCCTTGATCTCCTTGGCTTAAGCAATCATTCTTCCTCAGCTTCCCAGGAGCTAGACTATAGGCATGTGCCGCCATGCCCAGCTAATTTTTTTTTTAGTATATTTTTGTAGAGATGAGGTCCCCCTATGGTGTCTAGGCTGGTCTCAAATTCCTGAGCTCAAACAATCACACCTCAGCCTCCCAAAGTGCTGGGATTACAAGTATGAGCCACCATGCCCAGCTGTGTTAGTATTGACTACTAACACCAGCAATAGCTTGTTCAGCCCATATTTCCTACTGGGGACAACAGTGTAAGTAGCCCTGGTGACAACTTCAATCCTTCACTTCATGTGAGTTGCACAGGCTTAAGCAGTCACTTATCAAATGATCTCTACTGCAAAAATAAGATGTAATCAAGAATTATTAAATGTCTTAGATGCACCAGCACCATGAAAGAGTAACAGTAAATGCATAAACTTTGAAGAAATAATTACTAGACCAACCAGAGGAGATATTTAAGAATAATTAATAACATGAAAACAAAGGAGAATGTTGTATTTGCAGAAAACAGTTATAAAAAAGAATTAATATCTTAAAAGAATTAAAGTTAAATTGCACTGGTAAAGTTCCTTGAACATTCTATTTTTTTAGATGTAAAAGTATTAGTTACTTGATTTAAGGAAATGAAAAAATATTCTTTGAAAATACTTTGATAAAAAGAAAACTGCAAATTGAGGTTAACAATAAGTGTTTGTCAAGTGAATAACTTCTTTTTACTTTAAGGAGTTGCATTTTGGGATGTTATCCTTCAGAGGATTACTTTCTTGAAAAGGAAGGAATTTTTCTTCTCTTGGATTTGTTAGCAGTAAGTATGATTATAAAAATTTTAAGACAAAAGATAAATATGTTTTTATTCATCTTTTCCAATCTGAGTACCAATGAACACTATTCTGTGAATAAATGTGCCCCCAAACCATGTTCAAATATATTATTTTAAATAATATCTGTCCTGAAGATTTATAATATGCTTGCATATTAAAGGCTCTGAGAATTGTTCCATTTAAGATATAATTTTACTTAGATCTGTGTTCTCAAATACATATAAGCAAAAGTTCCCAAATGCATATAAATAAATATAAGCTTTAAGAAACCATTTGTGAAAAGCTAGACTACTTAAAAACCCATAGTCATTTATTAATAACTTCTAGCTTTCTTCTCTTTTGAAAGTTAAGAGCCACATTAGACAAGGAGCAAAGATAAGCATTTTTAAAAACTGTGTAAATTTGGAGGTAATGTGAACAAGTCTAGTGTGTCATGGACTGCTGATTTGCAGAATGGGTAGGAGTGAGCAAGCTAATAAGTCTTCCAGTAAAGACAGTTGCCAACTACCAGCTGTGAAGAATATATCCCTCCTAGTCTCAATTCTAAGTGAAGTCTATAGTCGTGACAATATGGGAGGAAAAGTATAATCTTGTTTCAAGAAAACTTTGAGAGATATTCCCACAGAGTTCTGCTGTGTCATTGTCTATGACTGCCACCATTCTTGATTTTATTAACACAATAACAAACTACTTTGATTTATCAAAGGTGCTAAAATTATTTGTACCTCCCTGAAAGGAAATTAGTTCATTTCTAGTTTTGATTTATCTGTAAAGTAGATATAACAAATATGTACCTCATTACACTTTTAGAAGTATTAAATAAGTGATTATGTGCATGTGTATGTGCATACATATATACATACACACATTGATTAAAATAGTGCCTGACACATTATTCCCATGTGTTTGCCATTATGATGAATAATGGTTGAATTTTGTGATAACCCCAGAACTGTGGCTCATGTCAATGCTTGGCGAGGGAAGAAGGATCAGACAGCTACTAATCTTTTAATTAAATTGTAGAGAAAGGAATACTGTTTTGTGAATACTGTTGGATTGTTTAATATCAATTGCACCAATCAAGTTAGTTACAAATTACAAATATTCTTTAATGAAGTCTTTTTGTTTGTTTGTTTTCGAGTCAGAATTTCACTCTGTCATCCAGGTTGGAGTGCAGTGGCATGTTCACGGCCACCTCAATCACAACTTGCTGGACTCAGGCAACCCTTCCGCATCAGCTTTCCAAGTAGCTGAAACTATAGGCATGAGCCACCATGCCTGGCTAATTTTTTGATTTATTGTAGAGACGAGGTCTCATCAAGTTGCCCAGACTGTCTCAAACTCCTGGGCTCCCAAAGTGCTAGGCCACTGCACACAGCCTTTAATGATGTTTTTATATCAACTTCAACCTTTGACACTTGCCTCATGTTCCTGAAATGAAGTATAGAAATAAAAAATTCACTTGATTGAGGGTTCTGCTCAATATAGTTCTGCTGTAATATTTATAAAGTGTGCAATGATAATTGCTAATAATGGTTAGGTATTAATAAGAGCTTACTATGTGCCAGGCAGACTCATAAAACTCATATAATCCTTTGCAGGTATTATCTTTCATTTTATTAAAGGAAACTGATAATGTTTGCAATGCAGACATATGTTTCCTTTGCCATATTCATCAGCAGTACACTATAAAAGTTAATCAACAAAAAATATTTCACATAGAATTACTGTGTGAAGACCATTGATATGGATGGAATTTTCTATACCTTAATTTTGGTTTGCTGAAAACTACCCGTAGTAAAATAAAGGAAATATTCTTGATAATAAGATAATTTTTCTTGAATACTTAAATACACTTTTATGGATGCTCATTGTCAAAAACCAAAATTACATCTCATTTTGTTTTATTTTCATATGTGACTGTCACTTGCAGTTGCCATTAGTTATCTCTTAATAAAGAGATTATTACAATAATAAAGTTATTCTCAATAATAAAGAGAGTTCGTACAAATCTTTACAAACCTTAATAAAGCATGTAAGTTGGAAAGATCTTATAATGACAGTGAACTATGTATTGCACTGTTGAACTTACTCCACATAAAATGAACATATTCAATTATTTTTGCAAATCTTCCTTTTCCAATTCAATCAAACCAATCAGTCACATTTTTGGTCATGACGTATGTTTACACTACTTCAGAACTATACTAAATCTTTTACCCTTTTAAATTTCTGATGTTTGAAAATATGCTCATTATAATAGGTATTTATTTTAACTAGAGGTTGTCCTGAGTTTAGAATAAACTTACTGATAAGTGTTTCTCTTTTTTAAAGAAATAATTATTGATATTTATTGCAACTTTTTTCCTTTTTATTTCCTTGCTAAAGTTGAATCAAAAAAAATTCTGTAATCTAATACTTAGAATAATGGTTGAATTTTGTGATAACCCCAAAACTGCGGCTCATGTCAATGCTTGGCGAGGGAAGAAGGATCAGACAGCTGCTAATCTTTTAATTAAATTGTGGAGAAAGGAAGAAAAAGAACTAGGAGTAAAACGTGATAAAAATGGGAAGATCATTGGTGAGTGTATTTATAATTGTTAGTAGAGGCAACCAGATGCATATTTTTGAAAAGGACTTTAAAAGATTTTAGGAAAGCATGAAGATTTTCCTTTGTCTCAAGTTTTTTTTACAAGGATTTGAAGAACTTGCAATCATAAATGGTTGGATGGAAATGAAATATATTAATAGTAGCTTCATATTTTTATAGAATATTTTCAAGAAATACATGATTTTATTATTTAACTCAAAAAATTAACAGTAGTTCTTAAAGAAGTTTCTTTGGGTTTTCTGCTTTTACAGATAGATTCAGTTATATTTCATTTGCCAATAATTTTGGGATATAAATAGATTGCTTGAAATAATTTTTATAGCATTTTGTGCATTTATGTTCATTTATGTTTATATGATTTACTTTTGAAAGAAGAAATTGTTTTCTAAATAAAAAAATCAAATGTTTATGCATTTTAATGACTAGATTCTAGATTAATGAGGTTTACAAAATGAGAATTTTCGGTTTGTTTACATATTCCATAAAACATTACAGTCTCTTTTCTTATAGTTTTTACATTATAGTTTCTAAACTGCTAGTATTGTTATTTTTGAATGAAAATACTTCTCCTTCTGATTAGTTCTATCTTCTGTGCATTTTTATCATCTCTGAATTTTAACCTATAAACATCATAAAATAGTCAACCTTGGTGGCTTCTGCCTGTAATTCCAGCACTCTGGGAGGCAGAGGCAAGAGAATTGCCTGAGCCCAAGAGTTCAAAACCAGTCTGGGCAACTTGGTGAGGCCTCATGTCTACAATAAATTTTTAAAATTAGCCAGGAGTGGTGGCGCATGCCTATAGTACCAGCTACTTGGAAGGTTGAGGCGAAAGGATCCCTTGAGCCCAGCAGGTCAAGGCTGCGGTAGATGTGAGTGTCCCACTGCACTCCATCCTGGGCAACAGAGTGAGTCTCTGACAAAAAAAAAAAAATCAAAGTTTTTATATTTATAGCATAATATATAGAAAACAAAAGTAAGGAAGTTCACATCATTGTTAAACTGACATTATTCTGCTTCTGGATCTCAACACTTTTAAAGTTATTTCCATAAAACTTTTATTTTTAAATAATAATTTTATGAATTTTTAAATATTTTACATAAATAAAAATTAAAGCTTTAAATTTTGCCACAGAGTGGGAAAGAAATTACTGATTATGATTTCAAAAGAGTACCATATATAAGACACTATTTTACTGCTAAATATTTTTAGATATTTTATATTACCTAAACTAAAATCTCAAAGTTAAGTGTTTATTTACTATGAATTCTATTTGTCCCTTATATGTTTTTATGCTATCCAATAATTAGACACAAAGAAGCCTCTGTTTACTAATTTTCAAGAAGAGGAAAAAATCACACCATTGCCTGCTAACTGCCCGTCTGTTGCGGTTATGGATGTTGCCGAGAATATCAGAGCAAAAATCTATGCTGTGTTGGTCAAACTAGGTAAGAAGCTGCACCTTGGATTCACAAGAGCCTCTCTGTTTTGCTGACTGTGCACATTGATTTTACTTTGGAGTTGGTTTGTCAAACATAATGCACAAAAGTCCCTTTATACAGAGAAACATGTATTCCATTGTTTTCCCAGTCTCCAAACGGCACCTCTCACCAATTAAATTAGGATCTTTGGTTGTGGGGAAAAGGTTCTCACTCTTCAACTTCTGAAAGTAAGATAGTATTGTCTGTCTTACTTTCAGAACTATCTTACTAGAATTTCTGAATTTCTTTCTTTCATAGAAATTATTCCTCTTCTAATGACTATGTAAAGATGTCCTGGCAGAAGTTTGTTATAGGAGGAAGACTGCTTGCAAACTACTCACAGAATTAACTTTTTTATGTTACCAAAATGAAATCAAGCTTGGAGTGGCAGTTCATGCCTGGAATCCCAACACTTTGGGATGCCAAGTCAGGAAGATTATTTGAGCCCAGGAGTTCAAGACTAACCTGGGCAACATAGTGAGACTTCATCTCTATTTTTAAAAAAAAATTAGCCAAGTGTGGTAGTGTGCTCCTGCATTTCCAGCTACGCAGGAGGCTGATGCAGGAGAATAGCTTCAGCCTAGGAGTTGGGGGTTGCACCCATGATCGTGCCACTGCACTCCAGCCTGGGCAATAGAGTGAGACCCTGACTCAAAAAAAAAGATGAAATCAAAAGTAACTGCATTTGTTTTTATGCCTCTTAGAATCACTTGCTCTGTTAAAGTAATTCTGTCTTTATAAACTGTGTTTAGATTTTGAAAATTTACCTGGCCTATCCACTGAAGATTTTGTCACCCTCTGTATCATACATAGATATCTTGATTTTAAAGTAAGTATCTTTTTAAATAACCTTGTTATTAAAACTTATTATGACCAAAAATAAATTGAGAAATAAAATATCTATTCTATTCATAGTTGTGAGCAATCATCTACTTTATAGTTTTATTCTTTTGCATCTGATACTATTTTTTTTAAAGGTACCATTAATTGATTGGTTATTTTCCTTAGAATAAGATTACGTCCAACTTAGTTTATAAAAGATGTACATTACTGACATAAAACTATTAAAAATCCTAAAAGAGCTTTTAAAAAATAATCTATTCTCTTTGGAGGGCATTAGGAGTTGAATTAAATGTTATTATTTATTAAAATAAGTTATTAGTACTTATTAAAGTATCATTTTATGATACTTTATTATTTACTATTATATAACCTTATATATCATTATCAAATCTCATTTAAAGAATATTAGGTTGCTTACCTTGCTGGTTATATTTTTGTCAGTAAATAAATGCTTTTGAAATTTCAGGAAAGTTCTGGTAAGTGAACATTCTCCTTCTACTAATATTAGTACTACATATTTGAATATTATAAATGAATAAAAACCTTTACCTTCAAATGAAAGCAAAGCTGAATTGTATCCCTATTCTATATATAAACATTTCTCTAATTTTAAATATGCTCAAGCCTATTAATTTCTAGACAGTCTACAATATGAGATGGAGCTGTCAGCATGATGGAACAACGGAGTTAAAAGTTCAAAATTCAATTATAATTCACCTTAGCTAGAAAGTGAAGGGCAGAGCCCTATTTCTCAGGGTGACTGGGTCCCAGTAATCCCCATGTTCATTCCTCCTATAAGTTCATCTTGACCTAGCCTTAAATACAGGGATTTAGGGAGGAAAGCAGCCAGTTGTTCAGAAAAATGACAATAAATCAGCAGTTTCTGCAAGTTAACTATAAACTAGAGATAGCGATGATGGCAGTAAACTAGACATAGGGGAGCCTTATGTATGAATACCTCACAATTGAAAAGTATTTGATAAACTGGGCATAATGGTTCACACCTGTAATCCCAGCACTTTGGGAGGTGGAGGTGAGAGGATTACCTGAGCCCTGGGATTTGAGACCAGTCTGGGCAACTTGGCGAGACCCCATCTCTACAATAAATAAAAAAAATTAGGCAGGTGTGGAGGCACATGCTTGTAGTTCCAGCTTCTTGGAAGGCTGAGGCAGAAGGATCACGTGAACCCAGCAGGTAGAGGCTGCAGTGGCTGTGAGTGTGCCACTGCACTCCAGCCTTGGTGACAGGGTGAGACTCCAACTCAAAAAAATATTTATTTGATAAATTACTTCTGAATACTCAAATGTAACTGGTGCCTAAATCATTCTCAGTGCACTTAACTTACTCCAAAGAAGTAATTTCTGAAAAGTTCATGTTAATAGGAGTGATTGCCTGCATAAAAGGTTACCTAAAATTATATCATTTCTTTTTGACTAAGTTAACTTTGTTAAACTTGAACTTTGTTGTAACAGATTGGAGAAATATGGAATGAAATATGTGAAGAAATAAAATTGGAAAACTTAAGACCAGTCACTACAGATAAAAAATTTTTTGAAGCTATTACAGCAGCATCTGAAAATATTGGAAAGATGGTAGCTTCTCTGCAAAGTGAGATGATTGAAAGCCAAGCACGCCAAGATGTGCAAAATGAACAAAAAGTATATGCAAAAGTAAGCCACACGGGTAGGAGGAGGTGGGAATGAAGGAGAGGTTGGTACAAAATTACAGATAGATAGAAGGAATAAGTTCTAATCTTCTGTAGCACAGTAGGGCAAGTGCAGTAAAAATAATTTATTGTATATTTCAAAATAGCTAGAAGATTTGGAATGTTTCCAACAGAAAGAAATGATAAATCTTTGAGGTGATAGATATCCCATTTACCCTGATTCGATCATTACATATTGTATGCATGTATCAAAAGATCACATGTATGCTATAATTATGTACAACCATTACATAACAATTGTTGGGTTTTTGTTTTTTTTTTAGCCCAGGCTGGAGTGTGGTAGCACAATCATGGCTTACCTCAGCCTCAGCCTCCTCGGCTCAGGCAGTCCTTCTGCCTCAACCTCCCAGGTAGCTGGGACTACAGGTACACATCACCATTCCCAGCTAATTTTTCTTTTCTTTTTTTTTTTGTAGAGACAAGGTTTCATTATGTTGCCCAGGCTTGTCTCAAACTCCTGGGCTCAAGTGATCCTCATGCCTCAGCCTCCCTAAGTGCTGCGATTACAGGTGTGAGCCACTGCACCTGGCCTATGTATCATTTTTTTTTTTTTTTTTTTTTTGAGTCGGAGTCTCACTCTGTCGCCCAGACGAGTGCAGTGGCCACTCCTGGCCATTGCAGCCTCAACCTGCTGGGCTCCAGTGATCCTTCCGCCTCAGTATGTATCAGTTTTTAAAGGTGAGCCACAGATACCACTAAGGCACAAGATATTAATTTCAATGTTATCTGTGGGATATATTTTCCTACTTGTGAATGTTTCAACCTTGAGTTATTTTGTGATTTTCTCTTTTAGTGTCTTATAGTGTCTCTGTGCAGTTTAAAAAAAACAAAAACATGGAGTTAGCTTGAGATTCAATTACTATATTCATTGCTGTTTTATGACATTGTAATCTGATGTTTACAGCCTTGTGTTTTTCCTTTTTTTTGTTAATGACAAACAGGCTTCCAAAAATGATAGCCTATTTAAAAGGTAGACTTTAGGCCATGTGTGGAAGTGCATCCTTGTAATCCCAACACTTTGGGAGGCCAAGGACGGAGGACTGCTTGAGCCCAGAAGTTTGAGATCATCCTGGGCAACATACTGAGATCCTGTCTCTACAAAAAATTTTTAAAACTAGCTGCACATGGTGGTGCACACTTGTGGTACCAGCTACTCAGGAAGCTTAAGTAGGAGGATTGCTTGAGCCTAGGAGGTCAAGATTATAATAAGCAGTGATCATGCCACTGCTCTCCAGCCTGGGCAATAGAGAAAGACCCTAACTTCAAAAAATAATAACAAGTGTGTACATTTAGCAAATTCTGTCTGACAAACAGTGCATTTCTGTAACTATGTGCATAACCTCACTGAGAGATAAAGTTGACCCCCATCCCTCACTCTGTGATAGATCCTTACTGGTATTCTAACCATGGGGATATCAATCAGCTTCATACTCACTTCAAAATCAAAATGTTTACAGTGAGCATTCTGTAAATCCAAAGAGAAACTAGTTTCTGGCTAGTTTCTGACTAGCTAATCAGAAAAGACCATCAGGAAAATATCAGCTTTTGTTCCTAAAACTTTACACGGGTGGGAAACTCAGCACACTCATTGCTGAGCAAATAGTTTAAGTGGCTAGTTAAATTTACCTGTCCACAGATACAATGATTATATAGATTCCCCACTTCTGCTCTGTGATCCTTTATGACTACAATCAAATATTTAAAACTCTTTAAGGTGATTTCCAAAGCCTGATCTATTCACATAGACCATTAAATGTTTCCAGCTACAGCCTAGTAGGAACTTTGTGTGCATCCACCTAAGAATTCTGCTCCATAATATACACCCAATTGCTTGAAAGTTTTGCTTGGTAAGAGTTTATTGCAAGGATGCTACCATTTAACCCACGTATTTGCACTGAAACACATCACAGTTGGGAGTTCTGCCTCTCTGTCATTAACTCTGCCGAATAGCAGAATGTCTGCTTTGCTGATTTGTGGTTTACTATGGATTTAGCACTTGTTTTTTAGCAGTTGTTTAATTATATATTCTCAGGTTAATAATTTAAGCTTGATGGTATATTTTACACCAACCAAGGGCATGTGTCCTCATTATATATTTAATGGGTAGACTGTTGAGAACTATGGACTTTGCAGTTTGTTAGTAGTTACCTCCTTAGAGTACATCACCACACCTGACTCAATACTCTCATAAAATTGCTTGTCTTAAAGCAGCCATAAGTTAGAAGCCATTTTACCAATATAATTTTGCCCAAACTATCATCAGCGACAGAAAGAATCTCTTTTTATTTTCTCCTGTGAATTTGCTGTTCAGTCTTTTATATAGTTTGGTCTGGATTCTTCACAAGTAGTAATCATGTAAAACAATCAGTCTTGCCGAGAGTGAATATTGCTATAAAAATAATAGTTTTGCATTACATTTCATGGAAAGCAGTTAAAACCTAAGCCACATAATAATCAAAGGATTTTTTTCCCATTTAAGGCTTTTAAAATTTTGTTAAATTCTGTGAATATGCTAATTATTATGTTAGTCAGCCTTAAAGTTTACCTCAGCAAAGAGTGGGTGCTTTCTTCAGAATAAAGGCTTTCAAGCCCTTTGGTGTCCTTTCACAGAAACTGGAACTCCTTTTTTTTAAATTACTTTAGAATTTTATTACTTTAGACATACTATCACGAGATTGTAACTGCCTTAACAAAACAACATATCAATTAGTTTTTTTTCCTTAGAGAGCTCAAGATGCATGTACTTTGTTTTCTAACTTTTTTATTATTTTGCATATGTTCTTTTTTAATTTTAAAGATATGGAGTACAATTCAGGGTTAGGTATACAAATGTTTATTATGCAGGTACCCTTGTTGATGAGGTGTGTTCCTCCCTCCCCTGGCAGTTTCCCTCAACTGCCAATCCCACACCCCCTCCCCTGGCTGTTTCCTACTACTGCCAATCCCTTTCTTATAGTATTGGATAATTGTTCAAGGTCCACTTATGAGTGAGAGAGAACATATGGTACTCTGTTCTTTGTTTCTGTGATAGATCACTGAGAATGATAGACTCTAAATCCAAGTTGCTCCAAAGTCCATATGTTTGTTCTCCTTTATGGCTGCATAATATTCCATTGTATGTATGTACCACATTTTTTTAATCCAGTCCAGCTTTGATAGGCAGCATGGTTGGCTCCATGTTTTTGCTATTGTGAATAGAGCTGCAACAAACATGCGTGTGCAGGTATCTTTTTTGTAAAATTATTTTGGTTCCTCTGGGTATATTCCCAATAGGGGGATTGCTGGGTCATATGGAAAATCAATTTCTAGTTCTTTCAGAAATCATCACACTATCTTCCAAAGAGGTTGTGCTAGTTTGCAATCCCACCAGCAGTGCAGAAGCGTTCCTTTTTCTCCTCATCCTCACCAGCATCTGTTGTTGTTTGTTTTATTAATGATGGCCAGGTACTGTCTCAGTGTGGTTTTGATTTGCGTTTCTCTGATGATGAGTGAGGCTAAACATTTCTTCATGTGTCTGTTGGCTGCCCTTATATCTTCTTTTGAGAAGCTTCTATTAATGTCTTTTGTTCACTTTTTAGTGGGGCTGTTTGTTTTTTTCTTTTCAGCGCATTTGAGTTCCTTGTATATTGTAGATGTTAGGCCTTTGTCAGACAGTTGGCAAATGTTTTTTTTCCCATTCTGTGGGCTGTCTCCCTATTCTCTTGATGGTTTCTTTTGCTTTGCAGAAGCTCATCAGTTTGCTAAGGTCCCACTTATCTATCTTATTTCTTATGGTGTGGGCATTTAGGGTTTTGATCAGGAATTGGTTGCCAGTTCCAGAAACTGGAACTCTTAATTCTCTTTCTCATTTCAGATACAGGCCACTCACAAGCAAAGAGAACTGGCTAACAAATCATGGGAAAACTTTTTGGCTAGAACATCAAATGCTAAAACATTAAAGGTAGGATTTTTAAAGTATTACAAAATGCATAACAAATAGCCAGCCCTTACAGACAGACTTTATCAAGAGTGAACGTTCATGCTTTTTTTTTTTTTTGGTGACTCTTCTGTAAAATACTAACACTGCTGGATCCTCATATGAAATTTAGGGTGACAATTGAAGCTGCATTCTCACAGTTACAGAAGACGCTGTTTTGGAGTTTCATTTGTTTAGCAAGGAGAAGCAGGGATGGTGTTCTAGGCCTACAGAAAGAAGGTGATAGTTAGCCAGAAGCAAGCAGGAAGAACGTCCTTTGCTTTCCATTCTGAACCTTTCTAGTCAATGATTCTTTTCTCCAAGAAGCGCAGAGTAAAGGACAGAAACAGCAGCTACCCTGCATGCCCCTCTCTCCCAAGGGTTTTTCACCTCTGTGATCACCAAAGTAAACATTATGTTAAAGCTTAAATGCAAGTTTGGGATAAATATCCCTTTGTGAAAAATATAAGCTACCTCATCTATAAGCTAGAGACTATCTAAAAAGTTTATAATGCTAATTATTTACTTGACATGTGTGAGAAAACACCATGGATTTCTAAAATTTCATTACTTTTCCTCATCTTTTTCCATTAATACCTTGGCTACACTTTACCAAATGTTATACTTCTTCCTCTAGATATGAAAGTGTTAAATGTTAAGTTAGTCCACAAAAATAGTGAAGTCATATTAAATAACAAAACCAAAGTTGAAAACAAGCTCAAGGATCAAGTGTCCCCTTTTCACTAAAAGTTCTTCTCAACTTTACTTACAAAATTTCCTCATAACTGCCTGTATTTTTATGGAATAGTTCATGAAAATCAGCTCCTACCCTGCAGATCATTTTTTACCTCACATTTCTCTTGTTTAGTGTCTCAAATATTGAGCTTGAATATAACTGCAGTGAATTATTTATATTATTCTGAATGTTTAAATCATTTACATATACTGAATTAGTTTTTAATTTATGTAACACATTTTACAACAGGCATCACCTGATATAAATTTAGTAGCTTGTTAAATTATGTGCTAAAAACCAAACCTGATTTCCTTAGGACCTGCTTTACTCCCTGGTCATATATGACCAGTGCTTCTGGAAACCTCTGGAATGTTTTTAGACAAGTGGTATCTTCTTCAGTAAACAAAGTATTTAACACACTAATAACTGTCTTCTTAGCCTAAATGAGCAAATGCAGATTTCAGGGCTACCTAATATACAGCCAAAGTATAAACCAGAAATAAATATACTTCTCATTGTAAATACCATAGTTAATGCTTTAATAGCAATATCATTTTCTTTCTAATTGAAAAATCTTCAGAAAGCAAAAAGACTTCAGGAAAAAGTCATAGAATCCTCTAGAAATGATGAACAACCACAAAATGCAATATTTCACCAAACAGATATTAAAGGCCTTAACACAACGGTAAGATTATTTTTCTCCATAATTTCTTCTTAATAGATATTAAACTTAGGCCCCCAAAATATTATTTCTGTGGGGTTTTCAGCTTGTATTTTTTCTTTTTGCTGTTCAAATTTCATATTATTAAGGCATATTTCTCCATGATACTGGAGATAAATGGTACTTCATTTTTGCCCAGTGCTAGCCATCCAGGAGTCCTAAGAATCTGCTACAAACACTAGTCAGTGAATGTCTATCTTGACATCTCTTTGACAGAATATGCACAGTTCTTCCTTTGCCTGGCAAGTAGATCCATGCTGCATGCCAGTGGTCCTGGTGTCCTCTGCTAGACATCATTTGGCCCCAGTTACAAAACTGACAAGAAGTAGAATTCAAACACGTTTCCTGGTTCCAAAGCCCTTATCTTTCCATTATGCTGCACTACCTTCCCACTCCTCATATGTACATTCTGTGTCTTTTCCAAAGTAAGCTGACGGATGAATAAGTTCTTCTCTTATTGAAAATTTTGCCTCTTAGATATTTACCTTTTACTTTTTTAGGTGCCCTCTGGTCAGGTAGTAACAGTGGAAAGCACACCTGCCCAGTTAGTAGGAGGACCTCTGGCTGATACGGATATTGCTCTTAAAAAACTGCCTATTCGAGGAGGAGCCTTGCAGAGAGTAAAAGCAGTTAAAATTGTGGATCCACCAAAAAAGAGTACTCCTACATAATATACTCTGGAGACTTTTTGAAATAAACTCTGTTATAATTTTTAAAATATATCTTTTTGCACATAAAAAGCGAATATTTTAGTAAAATATTGTAAAAAAATAAAAGGACATACAATTTATTTTTATGAAAACGATCACCATATAATATCAGAAGAGCTTTCATCGATTTCTTTGGGAAGACTACCAGTTCTCTTAACCGAAATTGTAAGACATAGTTTATCAGTTAGAACTCTTGGTTGCATGTGAACTACTTCAACTAGTTTAAGCCAAAAAAAACAAACAAACAAACAAAAAAACTTTTAAAGGTTCTGTGTCTATTGAATCTAGGAGTAATTTAGATTTCAGGCATTGCTGGATCTAGGAACTAAAGCTCTAAGGGCGGGATTGTCTCCTTCCTTCACAGATCCTGGCTTGCATTCTCTCAGGTTCATGCTTACAGCAGTTTCTACAACTGCCTGTGCATCTCAGGACCCCAGATTGACCACATGCCCACTCCTGAGCCTTCACCATGACTGAGGCCAGATCTGAATTCTACCTACCCCTGGAGCCAGAAGCAGGCCAACCCCATCTAAAACATATGAATGGAGTGAGGAATTGTACTATTATCAGAAGTATATATGAGTATTGTGTGGCAAAACAATAAGTCTGCAACAAATATGTTAATCAAAGTAAAATATGTTTTCTCTGCTATAAAAAGCAAATGAAGGCCGGGCATGATGGCTCATGCCCATAATCACAGCATTTTGGGAGGCTGAGGTGAGAGGATTGCCTGAACCCATGATGGGTTCGAGACTAGCCTGGACAACTTGGCGAGATCTCATCTCTACAATAAATCAAAAAGCCTGATGTGATAGCGTGCACATCACATAGTAGTTCCGGCTACTTGCAAGGCTGAGGTGGAAGGATCACCTGAGCCCAACAGGGTGAGGCTGTGGTGGCCCTGAGCGTGCCACTGCATTCCAGCCTGGGTGACAGAGTGAAATTCCAACTCATAAATAAATAAATAAATAAGCAAATGATAGTCATGATCTAGACAGTAAAATGTAAAAAGAGGCCGGATTCAGTGGCTCGGTCTGTGATCCCAGCACTTTGGGAGGCCAAGACAAGTGAATTGTCTGAGTCCACAGGTTCAAGGCAAGCCTGGACAACTTCGCAAGACCTCGGCTCTACAATAAATAAAAAATTAACTGGGTGTGGAAGTGCGCACCTGTAGTTCTGGCTACTTGGAAGGCTGAGGCAAAAGGATCACCAGAGCCCAGCCAGTCGACGCTGGGGTAGCTGTGAGTATGCCACTGCACTCCAGCCTGGGTGATGGAGTGAGTCTCCAACTTGAAAAGTACAGCTGGTTTTGCTCTTAATATTTAAATATGCAAAGCAAACTCTAATGCTGCTACTTTAATAAGAAAGAGAAGCCGGCTAGGTGGCTCAGCCTGTAATCCCCCGCCTTTGGGAGGCTGAGGTGAGTGAATTGCCTGAGCCCGCGGGTTCGAGACCTGCCTAGGCAGCAAGACCTCATCTCTACAATAAATCAAAAAATCAGCCGGGTGTGGTAGCGCATGCCTGTAATTCCAGCTACTTGGAAGGCTGAGGCGGAAGGATCGCCCGAGTCCAGCAGGTGGAGGCTGCGGTGGCTGGGAGCGGCCACTGCACTCCAGTCTGGGTGACAGAGTGAGACTCCAACTCAAAAAAAAAAAAAAAAAAAAGAAAGAAGAAAGAGAAAGGAAACCTAGGGGACATGTTCTCCCTCCTTTGGAGGTATCTTGCCCAGAGTATAGGAGGTAAAGGCCTCGGTGCTCGATGTAGAGCAAACTGTGTCTGTGGATGCCATTGAAAGGTCTCCTCCTCCTGTCTTCATCCCCTTCACAGCCTCCTCCAGCCAGGAAGCTACAGAGTTGAGTTCATATCCAGGGCTGGGAGAGACAAGAATTTTGTTTTCTTTGACAGGAAAATAAGCTGAAATTTGGGTCTAGGTTCTAGGCTTGTAGGGCACACTCAGTAGTGTGCTGGTAAATATATAATAACTGGCTCTCTGGGGGAGAAAAGCTCTGATATACAGCATTTACCAATTTGCATGGTGTAAATACTCCCACTGTGATCAATTTAGGCTACCAACATGATGCCATTGAATGCAGAGTTTGGAAGACACGCATGCATTCCACTTTCATTATTAGATAAGAGCAGGACTCATCTTTTCCTACCTCCTCTACTCCTCCTCTCTCAACTCATCTTCCTCTGGGAATTCATTATCCTGTCTGTGAGGATAGTAACGTCTTCAATGAGGGAGATGTTGCCATGCTTGAATTGTTCTAATTAGAATAAGTTGCCAATTCACCTTTGGCTATTGGCCTCTTAACCCTGCCCCAGCTGCCTAGTCCCCTTGTGACCCACAGGAGTAGATAATATGCATCAGATTATCACTGAGATATTCAAGAGTTCTCTCTTGAATCCCTTTCTCTATTATCACCACCTCCCAAAAGATAACAGAAGGCATAATTTGTTCCTTTCCTTCACAGCGAAGCCCTAAAAAAAAAAAAAAAAAGATTCCATTTAAACAGGAGTTACTAAGACAAAGGAATGGATATGGCTGAGGGGATGCAACAATGAGATGCCCCCACAGAAAGTGCCAGATGCACTTAGGTACACCTGAGATGTATACCCAGAAGTGATATGAAGTGTCCATGGCTAAGAACAATGAATCTTTGCCCCACTTTTAGACTGTATGCTTCCTAAGAACAAAGTAGAGATCATGCTTCATTAGTTATTTTAATCAATATCTCAGTTAATAAATGGTTGCATAATTGTGATGGTGGCCTCAGTTCCTGACAGCCTTTCTTTTGAACTCTGCAAATGTAGCAAAGTACTGAGCTCAAAGGGAAGAAGAGACCAACAAGATACTATACAAATAGTGTTCAACACAGACATGCTGAAGAAGTTTAAATGTATTACTTTGTAACAATGATAGATTTTCTCCAAATGGTGAGGTGTAAATACTATTACACAGATAACCAAGGTGTGGAAATAAAATTAATATTATTGAGTTGAATTTAATTTTTTGTATGTGGTATAACTTGCTATCTCCAAATTGATGAAGACTGACTATAAGCTAGATAATCTGTGATGTCTTTCCCTCTGCCATGCAGATCTTGCCAAGCAGAAAGAAGGAAGGCAAAACAGAGCAGGTCATCATCTAGCAGTCATTTAACAGCCAAAGAAATGTAGAATGATGGAGAGCAGGAATGCTAAGGCAGACACTTGCACTTGGTAAACAGATTGCACCCGAGTCTGCATATTTTAATTCCAGCCACCACAGGGAGTGAATCTATGTGACCATGTCATTAAGTCTTTCTGTCTCTCATCACATCCTATAATCCCACACCACTCCTGAGCCCTAGGGAATATGATGACTAGCCTATCCTGCCTGCCTGAGAGGTGGACAGTATATTTTCTTACATGAGTCAGTTGAGGCAAAATTTCAAGCTTTCAAATTGAAACTTTTACTAATCAACTGAATGAAAAGAAAGAATGATAAAAGTGATGGAATTCAGTGAACACAAAAGTGGCTACACCAATCTCAGTAATGAGATTTTTTTTTTAACCACATGGCAAAGTTCATTCCAGGATGGTTAAACTGTGTTAGTGCTTATTTATACTGTGAAAAACTGAATAATTAGGTGAATAATCTTCATCCATCTGGTCCTTAGCCTTATGGAACACAAAGTATATTTTATAGGAAACAACTGAGATGTCCACCCTAAGTCTTTTCAAGTCAGATATCTAGTTTCTTTAATCATTCTTCAGATAATATAGTTTACAGAATTTATGAATCTGGCCAGCCCCTCAAAAGTGCTATAATTTGTTAATATTCCTCTAAACTGTAACCAACTGAACTGAACAAAAATTTCCAGGTGTAGCGGCATCCATGTAGAGTATAATGAAATTAATTCCTCTCCACACATTCTGCCAACACAGCCTGAGCTTACATCTGTTTCATTAGCCACCATGATTCATTATTGCTTATATTTAGTTGCCTTTCAAGGAAAATGTCCATGATGCTTTCTGAGAAAGAAAAACTTGATGCAGGAACTGATTGGGTTCTAATCACTCTCCAATAAAAGGAACCAGGGCTCCTTGGAGAAATTAATTCTAAGACTGGGGCAGAGTTTGGGGCATCATATTGAACTCTCAATGGCCAAAGCTGGAACAATTTGAGGAATAAAATCAATTATGTAGTATTTGGGGCCAGACATGGTGGCTCACGCCCGTAATCCCAGCACTTTGGGAGGCTGAAGCAGGATTGCTTGAGCCCAGGAGTCCCAAGACAGCCTGGACAACATTGTGAGACCTCGTCTCTACAAAAAATTTTAACAATTAACCACGTGTGGTGACACACATCTGTAGTCCTGGCTCAGGAGACTGGGGCAGAAAGATGGCCTGAGTCCAGGAGGTGGAGACTGGTGAGCTGTGACTGTGCCACTGTACTCCAGCCTGGCAAGAGTGAGACTCTGACTTAAAAAATTAAGTAGTATTGGGTTATAACTCAAAATATAAATTAATGTTCATAAATCCATACTGACATATAAATAAATAATGAAAGGAAGGGAGGGAGGGAGTGGTGTATGTCTCCTTGCAAAGAATTACAGATAGTTTATGTAAATATTCCCTCCTCAAGGAGCTGGAACATAACTGCCCATTCTCTTAAGTGAAGGTTATGCTTAGTGACTTCCTTCCAAAGACTGCAGTATACAACAAGGGTAGAAAGTAACTTTACAGTGGAAAAACCTAGCAAACACCATCTTAGCCATGAGGTCACGTTGATAGTATGCACCTTTGATATGAAATGTTGCGAATGGTACTTTACATCTGTGGTCTTCATCTTCAAAACCTACAACCCCAGTCCAACAATGGGAAACCCAAACTGAGGGGCATTCTGCAATATACCTGATCAGTACTCAAAACTGTCAAGGTCATCAAAAGCAGAGTCTGAGATGCGTCCTAACCCAGAGGCACCTAAGAAGATATGACAACTTGATGTAATGGTATCCTGGATGGGATCCTGGACCAGAAAAAGGACTTTAGGGAAAAAC